TCATGTGTTTATATATCTTAGGTCATCATAGATAAAACAATCATATTCATTTATAGAAAATAAATTTGAAAATTAACATAATATCTATAGATATACATACTCCACTTAACTTTGATTTTAACATTCTGCGTTTTGCCAACTTGTCAGCCGATGCTTTAGGAAGATCCTCTCGTGAGTTCTCTTTCTCTATCTCACACATGTAAGTTTTAAAAATCTCTTTTTTCTCTAAAAAATAGATGATGTTAAAAATATAATTTATAATTTATTTATAAATAAATTAATAGATGAACTTTAATCACGAAAACAGTTAAATTATAACATAAACTATTTATGAAAACACTATATTCTATTGGTTATAAATTATAAATCAAATTAGTTAAAACATAATTATTACTCTATAAATATTTTGAGGTTTGAAAAAGGTGTAATTCAAATTTAAATTTACAACAGAATTATAGTTAATTAAAATTTACAATAATTTATATTTCACCTCATTAATAATAAAATTAAGGTTATTTCTAATTTTTTCCAATTAACTACATTAATATAACAATCAAAATAATGAAACACTTTGTGAAAACCAGACAATCATACACCACTGCTCCTTTAGATGTCATTTTTTTAATAAAGCATTGATCCTTTAGATATTCTGGACCGTATCTACTCTTCATTTGCATTTTGCAGAAAATAGAAGTTTGTAGCATGAGTCTATCCAATGTCCCCAAAGCACGACATCACATTGATGGATTTGGAGTAGTATGTCATACACATATATACTAGTTACAGAGAAACTTCATGAAACTTTTAATTATTTTTTTTGGTTAAAAAAAAAACTTTCTAATATTGTTCTTTCTATTTTTTTGTTCAACAATATTGTTCTTTCTAGTGATTATATTTTCAAACACTCATGCATGTGCTGTACATTACCAGTAGGTAAATTTAGGATAGGTTTTTTTTTTTTTTTTTTTGCAAAACGGTAAATATTCATATTAATGAAATTTGAGTCATACAAAGAGCAAACTCAGGTATTTGAGACCATGGCAAAAAGAAAGAAAAAACATGGTAACAAAGCGTTTAGTGCATCTACGGGACTACACTCATTTGATCCATAAAAGCATTAAGTCACCAAAATGCTTTCTGTGCCGTCTAGCTGTGATAATGTTGCGAACTTGCCTGTCAATATCCCTCAGCAGAATGTCCGAAGATTTAGAGACCAAATTGAATAACCTGTTATTTCTCTACATCCAGATGTGGTAGAGAGTGACATGAGAAACTAGTTTCCTTAGAAGTGAAGGCGCTGAATCAGATCTAAGCTTTACCCATGTAAGAAAGGCAGTCCATGATTGGAAAGCGAAAGGAGACACACCAATTCTCCTCAGCACCGCCGACCAGATCTCCAGGCTGAAACCACACCAGAACAAAAGATGTTCTCTGGACTCATCAAATAAAGAGCAGATACCACAGGTAGTAGGCATATTTAAACCCCACCCTGCCAGCCGCATCCTCGTAGGAAGTCTATTCAACTGGGCAGTCCACATGAAGAACGCATACTTAGGGGTAGATCCTTTAAACCAGATGGATCTGAACCAAGATTCTCCTCTTCCTTATGCCTGATGTCATTCCAAGTTAGCTTTGAAGAGAAGTACCTTGTGTTTGAGTTCTCTACCTTCCAGAAGAACAGGTCATTAACCATTGAAAGAGCTGGGTTCTCGATAGAGGTAATGTGAGTGTGGAGAACTAAAACAGCGTCTGATCTCGGAGATGGAATTCTCCATCCTTCAGCGTTGCAAGCACTAGCCACAACAGAATCGATTGGCAATCTAAGGTCTCTCGAACCATTCACCCCAAGCAGCTGAATCAATGGACCAAGAGGGGTCTAGGAATCAAACCAAAAACTCGCCTTAAATCCATTACCCACTGAACATTTCACAAATTTCTCAGCCAGAGGTCTAATGTTAAGAAGTGATTCCAACACCCAGAATCTCGAGGATGCTTCTTGACTGCCCAAAAGCTTGAGATCCGTAAGTGATGATACTTATGCCAAGCCACCCACAGCAAGTTGGTATTGGAAAAAAGCAACCAGATAAGACGAAGACAGAGGGTGGTGTTCCAAGCTGTAAAGCATCGCAGACCCAAGCCTCCCCCCCTTTTAGGCAAACAGACAGTGGACCACGATACTTTAGCCATAAACTTGCCATCAATAGAACCTGACCAGAGGAAACGACTACACATAGATTCGAGTTTTTTAACGCATCCTCGAGGTAAGACAAAGCTAGTAATCCAGAAATTCACAGTACCCGTGATGACAGAGGCGATAAGCTGCAGTCTTCCTGCAAAGGATAAGAAACGAACAGCCCATGCTCTTAATTTTCCGGCTATCTTGTCAATCAGCGGAGTATATTCAGCTATTCTCAACTTTTTAACCATCAAGGATAATCCCAGGTATCTAATAGGGAATGAACCAGCCGAAAATCCATAGCTAGCAATAGCATTGGATTGACTCGGGTTCAGACCTGCATGGAAGATTTGAGTTTTTTGCATGATTCATTGTCAGCCCTGACCAGCTAGCAAAGTCCTCAAGGGTTTCGCTGATTCCATGTAAAGAGGAGCTGCATCCATCAAAGAAAATCATTACATCGTCAGCGAACATAAGATAAGAAATGCTCAACGCCTCTGTTCTTGGATAGTAACCAATATAACCGGATGAAAACCGAGACTGAAGCAACCGAGAGAACACCTCTATGGCTAGAACAAAGAGATAAGGGGAGAGTGGGTCCCCTTGTCTTAAACCTCTAGTATTTTTGAAAAATCGAAAAGCTTGACCGTTAACAGAAACCGTGAAGGATGGAGTAGAAACTGTGAAGGATATGTACAAAAATCATATTCGCTTACAGCTACGAAACATCTGTTTTTAGCAATTTCGAACACTCAAACAGTGTATAAATTCGAGTGTCAACTTCCAGAAAAAATAACCAGAAATTTTATCGGCGTCCAACAGAAACATACATATTGTATAATAAATAAACTCGTGACTGCAAAATATTGAAAATTAAATTAAATCGTGATATAACCAAATTTTATCGGCAACGGGAAAATTGCATTAAATTAAGTAAAGATAGTTTCATGGTCAACCCATACGTGAAACACCGACTTGCACCTTAATCACCTGTCTTCATTAATTTATTTATTTATTATGCAACTGCCTTTTTTCTTTATGCTTAAGACATTTTGTTGTTAACATAAGCATGATTAGTTTTGAATAATCAATAATGTCATCTCATAATTAGATGTCCTTCTTCTAAAGACTTTTGCTGTTGTTTGTTTCTGTAGAATCTGTTGAAAAGGAATTTCAACATCAAGAACAAAAGAGATGCTCAAAAGCTGGCACTATCCTTCCTCTTCTTCTCTTTGCGCGTCTTCATTATTTATTACATATATATATATATATATGCATATTCTTTATTTATTCATATTTTTTAATATCAGGTTTATATATGAGAGAGGAAGAAATTAATAAATTGTTTCTACACTAGGTGATTTTTCAAAGGGTATTATTTTTCATATTATAAATATAAATTTATCAAAATTATAACATACTACAAATAGAACTCTTGTACTTATATTACTTGTAAAGTTGTTTATTTTAATTATAATATAGAGACTGTTTATCGTGAATCCGTGTGTTACGGAAGTTTCTGCTGTGGTAATAACATATGTACAAAGTGTATGATTTGGTCGATAGATTATAATTTGTAATATGATAAAACTAGATATTTAAGAAAACATACATAAAAAGTAATGATTGAAACAAATTATTAGAAATTGTGGTTTAATACATAGTACATAACATTTAGGCAATCTCTTACACATTCGATATTAATGGAATATCATCTTCTTCTCTTTTTTTCCGCTATAATTGGAATATCATATGTGCTGGAGATGATTGAGAAATATGAAAAGTAAACAAAGAGAGGCCACAAGACCTTTCGGTGAAGACATTTTTTTTGCTTAGAATAAAGAGAAAATTGCTGAATAGGATGTTTTTAAGTTTTAAATTTGAGGAATAGAATGTTTTGAAAATCATAGAAGGAAATAGCTGTTTTTACTGTTTGTCTTCCCACAAGGGCCCTTAGGCAAATTTTATTTTCGGAATTGCCATTATCGAAGTAAAATAACTAAAAATTCATGATTAAATCCGATTTCGTAAACCGATTACACAAAATTATCAACCGAAGTCCAATATCATAAACCGAAGTAAAACCAAATGTATAATTTATCGACACCCCAACATTTAAAATAAAAATTTAATTTGGGATCCACATCTGGACGTCGTCTATCTAGCATCTCCGGCAATCCATCTCCGATTAGCCATCCGATTTACCGTTGTAATGGCGCGGAAAGTAAAAAAAATCGTTAAGGCGCAACAACACCGTGCCTCCGGTGTCGAGGCGAGTGCTCCGGAGTAACTCGAAGACAGCTCCGACGAACCACTCGCCCATGCCGCCCGTGCCACCGCGACGGAGTGACCGGGTTGAACATCCCATTCACTCGAGTCGTCTGAATCCACGCCGGCGGTGTAGAGCCAAAGTACAATTCGCTCCTCTTCTTCTAGAATGGCCTGCTCAGAATTCTAAAAGTAAGTTACATTTATGAACTTCGACCTTGTCTGAACTGTACTGGCGGTTTGTAATTAAAATTAAGATTGAAACAGGGCGCTGATTGGCTTCATTTATGTATTAGCGGTTATGAACTGTAGTACTTATGTCTACATATTGATTTCAAACGGTTGGATTACTCTTATATCATCTAGAAACAGTTACAGAAGTTTTTATAGGAGAGCATACGAATAGGGTAGTTTTCCCAAATATATGTTCTCTCTTTCGAACTCCTTCGAACTCCTTTCCCTCAAACATTTCCCCTGGGTTTGTATTTCACTGTTTATCCAGAATACTATATCTTTTCGTGCATTTCGGAATTGTTGTTTTCGTTCAAATACAGGAATGGAAGACGGAGAACCTTCAAATACAGGCATGGAAGATGGAGAAGCTTCAAATAACCTTTCGGAAAAACTACCAAAAAGAGTCCTCGGCGATGGTTGCTACCCCGTTGGTGCTCGGTTGAACATATATTCAAAGGCCAATGTAATTGGCCTCCTTGTCGAGACGTTAAAGGGTACTGAAGATCTTGAGAAGCTACTTCATTCCCAGTTTGGGAAGTTATTCCATCTACCTGTTGCAAGATGTTGCAACAGCGCCAAACTTGTCCATGCCCTTCTATCACGACAACTTGTGACCACGAAGAAACACGAGATTTGGTTCCTCTTTGGTGGACAGCCTCTGAGATATTCGATACGGGAGTTCAAGGAAATCACTGGATTGAATTGCAATCCCGAAGAAGAAGAAGAAGAAGTCGGAAAAACAGGAATCTGGAAAGACCTGTTCGGAAGAGCGAAGGCTATGAACGTGTATGATGTGCTTGAAATGCTAAAGGACCCGGATCTACCCCGATGGAAACGGCTTCCATTGGCCCTAATCGTTCTTGTCGACGGTGTTCTGTTTTGCAATAGCAAAAATCTGGCCCTCACCGAGAAATACGTTGAGATGTTGAGTGACTTGGATAGGTTCATGCTGTATCCATGGGGGAGGGTATCCTTTAACAAAACAGTATCTCGTTTTCAAGTTCCGAAGGCAATCACGGATACCGAGAAAAGGGAGAATCCTGTAACACGATTGCGCCGTCAACTTAAACAGAAAACCAGTGCATGCTATGGATTCCCTCTATCACTACAACTCATGGCCCTCCAATCTATACCAATGTTGGTTTCCAAAATTCCTCAACCTAATAACTTGAAGACATTCCTTGAAGATCCCGAAGGCTGTCAAAACGTTATCACTGTTGCATCTTGGGGACATACATGCCGTGGAATCCGACCCTCTGGTAAATTATTTTTAGTATTATATTTAGTACTATTTGTAGTCTTATTTTGTAGTAGTTCTCTTTAAAGATAAGTGCTCTGTCATTTTGGTTGGTAATTTTGCAATTGTATTTTTTTTGTCTTAGTTGTCTGTGAAACAGATGGTAGTGGATGATGGTGAGAATGACCAACAGAATGAATTGCGTTGGGGAGATGAGGTAGAGGATGCCGAAGTTGCATTCATGCAGGAACTCATGGCCGAGGGGTACAAATTCACACCTTCGGATTTTGCAGTGGCACCGGCACCTATCGTGGATATTAGTGATGCAGAGGACGAGGTTACCAATTAACAGGAACCTGAGCCATCCACCCGACCGAAAAAGAAACAGAAAACTCATCAAACTGAAAAACGTAAGATGCAGAGGAAGAGAGGCAGGGGCAAGAACTCTTCTAATCTATCGGAAGATAAAACACCTGAAAGTGGACAGATTAAAGATCTTAAAAGATGGATAGTACTTCAGAATACTTTGCTCCTTCGTGAGATTAAGACCGAGTTGGACAAGAGATTGGGCGTATACCAAGAGGACGAAGAAGATGACGATGTACACCAGTCAAAAGAAGATGGGGAACAGGATGACGAAGGACAGAATACAAAAAAAGATGGTGAAAAAGCGGATGAAGATGAAGACGAAGCCGAAGATGGAGGGGCACAGTCTAGCGTACGCCATAATGATGGTGTATACCCCGAAGATGGTGTACACCAGAAAGAAAGAGATGATGAAGAAGGGACCTCTACTTACTACGGTGGGGACCATTATTCTCCCAGGGATCATGCGTACTTGAAGACTCCAGAAGCTCCGACGATGACCCCTGAACCGGGACAAGCCAATTCAGGAACAACTCGTCCACCTCCTTACTTCGTCATTCCGGATGAAATTCCACCTTCTGGCCTCAACGAGGTGAGCTAATTGTTTAGTCAGCAGCTGACTCTATTAAGTTTCATAATGTGGGTGTAATGTGCTATGTTTTTTATGACTTATTCAGGTGGATGGTGGTTGAACAAATTTGGTGTCAGGCCCCTTAGTAGTCTACAAACCTCAGACTCCTCACCCATTGAGCTACGCATATAAGAAACATGAAGCGCAGACAGATGCGCAGGATGCACAGGTCAGACATTAAAGTTGTTCATATGATATGGATGTGTATACAGTAGTGTTTAGGTATACGCTAGGTATACGATTGATATGTTATACACTTTATTGTTACGGTGGTTTGTAGGGTGTGGCTAATGACGACGACTCAAATGCGGGGAAAGATTACCATACTGCGCCTGAGGATGCAAGTGATGCTTCGCATAAGACCCCTTGTACTCCAAAACCCCCACAAGAAGTTGAGGGATCGTCTGGTGTAAGGAGAACAAGTGGAGGAACAGGAAGAGGACGAAGAGGTAGAGGAACAGGAAGAGGAGGAAGAAGTAGAGCAAAACGCCAACGTGTACGGTCAGACAAGATTCGAGATATTTCCACCGCTGATTCAAAGGTGAAAGCTTTATTTGTATCCAGATCGAAAGCTGCGTACAAACCACTCGAAACAGTTGACCAAGATCACTTCAAGGCATTTCAGGAGTTATTATCACGTGAAAGAAACATGTAAGTTATATCGTATTGAAAGCAATTTATCCTTAAACTTTCATTCTAATCAATTACCAATTGCTCTCATTACAGCGACTTTTGCATTGTCACTGGTCATACTGTGAACAATCAATTCTTCCTACAAATTGCGAAGCCTACTGAGTGGGTTAACACGATGGTAAGTATATAGTTAGTACTTACTCAATCTTTAATTATCTGTATTATATGTTATTTATGTTTTGTTTTTCGTAAGCACATGCAAGTCATAATGGCCCATGCTTTGGAGACGTAGAGGTGAAATATACTTGAAAGACAGGGTAGCATTTGTAGACACCTTTGTTCATATCCATCATCGGCAACTACTACAACGATTTCATATCGCGAGACAAAACAAGTATGACTGAGGGAAACCATTTAGGCATTGTATTGGGAAAACCAGCAAAGTGGGCT